GCAGTAATGTATGCCCGTTGCAGTTCGCTGGCCTCTGACATGCCCCCTTCCTGTTCTTGGGACCTCTGCTCCCTCTCTCCATCTCTGCTGGCACTTTAGGCAGCACATTTGCTTCTTCTCCCTGGTGGTTCTCATAACTGGGAGTACTGGGCACGATGGCAGATGGGTCAAGATACCAAGTGATCTTTAAAAATATAAACCAGATTGTATGACTGTCTTTTAATTAAAGCCCTCTAATGGCTACCCATTGAAGTTAGCATAAAATCCAAGTTCGTTATCATGCATACAAGGCCCTGCATAATCTAGAACCAATCTCCTTCACTCATTACACTTGAGCCACCCCAGCGTCCTGTCTGTTCTGACGGGCTCCTTTCTGCCTCACAGCCTCTGCATCTGCTTCTGCCTGGAATGCTGGTACTTCACCTGTTCAGATGGCTGGATCCTTTTCACTCCCCAAGTCTTGGCTTAAATAAATAAATGGAAGTTATCTCAAGATATTATGTAATTCTTGATGTATTTTTACATTGTCTTAAAGTCTTTAATTCTTTTAAGTGAAAAAAATGTTAAGTATAGGACGATCTCATTTACATAAACATATATGTAGATGTGCACATATATGGAAATACACAGATAACTATCTGGAAGGATACACACCAGTTAAATGAGGTTACCTCTAGGATCACACTATACATATTGTTCTGCAACATACTTTTCATAAAGCAATAAGAGTACGAAATCTTTTTGTGTTGGCTCATATGGATGTACTTTATTCTTTTTAATGGCTCGCCAGTATTCTTTTGTATGGAGGTATTAGAATACCTTTCACCATTTTCCTATATTGATGGATATTTAAATTGTTTCCAATTGTTTTTACTATTACAATTTAATCTTAATACAGCTGATATGGATTTCAATCTTTGGATCACAGAAAATAATTTACCTTCTCATCTATGGGAATCAGTCTTTCATCATAGTTTCTAAAATAATACAATCTATTCGATTGTGAAATGGGGCCATCTTTAGTATTAACAAATTTTTTATATGCAGTTTATATATTGGTATCACCTCTAACTCGTATCTTTAAAATTTTAAAGTACATAAGCATTTTATGAAGACTCAATATGTCTAGCAATGGTGTGTAGAGGAGCACTAGCAACCAACCATTTAATTGAGATGCATTTAACTGAAGTATAATTTATATACAGTAAAATGCACAAATCTTGATTATACTGCTTGATTCAGTTCTTACATATGTACACATCTGAGTAACTGCTACCTAGACAGAAATATGTAACATTTCCTATTTCCTACACCTTGGCAGGCTGAGGGACAGCACATTTTCATTGAGTAGGACACTTACTAAGTTTTTTTTTTTTTTTTTAAATTCCCACAATTCTCATTTCTTTAGGGTAAATAGTCCTTTATGATTCCTATAGTACTAATTGATACTAACTTGGAGAATAGAGAGTAAGGTGAAGGAATAGAGGAATCATGAAGGTCCTGTTTTGGTCTTATCTCGTCTCTACTCATCCCTAACCATGTTGTTACTATTATTATTTTAGAAACTCTCACAGATATTCTAGGCTGGGTCAGATGGGGAAATTGTGGCTCGCTGAAACGTTTCAAGTTTATTTGATCCAGGCCGACAGGGATTTTCATTCTACTCTCTACCAAACTTGTTTAGATTTATCAAAACCACTATAGGTCATTCAATGCAAATAATGCCATAGTGTATTGATTTTTAAAGACACAATTTTTTTTTTTTACAGGAAATAAAATGAGCTGTTCTATTTTGGTTAAGGAATTTAATTTCTCTGTCTTTACAAGAAAAGAAATGAGACAGAAAACTGGAAAAGTAAGCTGTGGCCAGATCATTGATAGCCTCAAATGTCAAGCTGAGATATTTGGTCTTCCTTCCCCTTTTTTCTTTGCTAAGCTGAAAGTGTAATCACTATTTTCAGAGAAAATTAATTCCAACTTCGAGATAACTAGCTTATAAATTAATTTTTGGAATACAGCTTGTTACTTTGACTTGTCATTTGACTAGCATTATTTAATCTAGCTGTGTGATCTCAGACATGCCACTTAATCTTTCTGATCCTCAGTAATTTCTGATTTACAGAATAGATGAGTTAAGCAAGATACTCTCAAATGACATTTTCCAGTCCAAAAACTCAATGATTTACACGAACTCCTGGAATGTTGTTAGCAAAATGTCACATTTATCATTTAATCCAGCAGTTTTCTTTCAGAATATTCCTTAGCAACGTTAAAAAAATTTACATTTCTTCTGCAAGGTAGGTATTTAAGTAATCACAGAAAAACATGCTTCATATTTTTCCTGTGTGTAGTACCCAAGGATTGGGTCTGTTAATAGTGCTTACTTTAGGTGATACTGAAAGAAACTAGATAGGAATTTGACATTTACTGACTGTCTATTACATATCTGGAACGCTTCTCAGTCTTTACACACTAGGCCATTTAATCCATATGTTGGTATTATCTTCATTATATATATGAAGATTCTAAGCCTGGATGAGTCTATAGTACAAGGTGCTGTCTAAGTGGTGGAAGTAGTATCTGAATCCAGATCTGATTACAAAGCCTTTTCCACCCTATAAAACTGTGTTAATATCACAGAAGTTATGAACTTCAAATAAGGTACAGTGGAGACAAATATGCTACACCAGAAATATAATAGCTAAAAGTACATTGAAGTTTATTTCTCTCTCACGTTCCAGTCCCAAGGCAAGGAGCCAGGTTTTGGGTAGCTCTGCTAACCAGTCACTCTGAGATGCAAGTCCCTGCCATTCCTTACCCCTTAGGGTGTTTGTTATCCTTGTCTGCATTATTAAAGTTCTCTGGAAAGAATGATGCATGAGGGAAGCACATATCCAAGGTTTTAGGACCTGTATCTAGGAGCAGTCTAATCATTCATTTACATTCCAGCAATGAGAACTCAGTCATCGGGTCTACATGTGTCTGCAAGGAAGGCTGGGAAATAGTCTGCAGCAGAATAGCCAAGTACTCAGTTATACTCTATTATCATGAAGAAGAATGCATTCTGGTAGACAACTAGCATACCCTCATACGTCATTTTCTTGGAGTAAAATCAATGTAGAATGGATAAAAAATAATCTGCAAATAACCTCCTTCAAAAGATAGTTTATAGTTACAATCCTGAATAGAATGTTCTGTAAATCTGTATCAAGAAGACTGGAAAACATGATTAAAATGTAATTAATTGAGGATGTGACCTGTTCCTGGTACTCTAAAGCAACCAAGATGGTTTATTTCCCAAGAAAAATAGTGATTTGCATGGAGACCAGAAAAAGGAGTCAAAGAATAGGACTTAACACTATTGTCTGTCTGTCCCATATTCCTGTGACAGGAGAATATACTGACTTTATTGGATGGGCTCTCTGGGCCTTCAGGTGCAGGCCACAAACACAGCCATCTTATGAAGGTTTCTGCCCTTGAGACAGATACAGAAATGCTCTCCAGCAGTGGCATCAAAATAAGCCATTCCCGGGTGTCATGGATTGAATTATGTCCCCCAAAAGACATGTGCATCAATTTGGCTGGGCCATGATTCCTGGTATTGTCTGATTTTCCTATATGTTGTAAATACTGCCTCCATGATGTTAATGAGGGAGGATGGGCGGCAGTTGTGTCAGTGAGGCAGGACTCAATCTACAATATATTGTGTCCTGAGGCAGTCTCTTGAGATACAAAAGAGAGAAGGAAGCAGAGAGACACGGGGACCTCATACCATCAAGGAAGCAGTACCGGGAGCAGAGGGCGCCCTTTGGACCCAGGGTCCCTGCGTGGAGAAGCTCCTAGTCCTGGGGAACATTGATGAGAGAGAAAGCCTTCCCCTGTAGCTGATGCCCTGAATTTGGACTTTTAGCCTACTTGACTGTGAAGAAATGAATTTCTCTTTGTTAAAGACATCCACCTGTGGTATTTCTGTTATAGCAGCACTAGATGCCTAAGACACCTGGTTTGGGAAACATAAATTCAGAGTGACAGAAGAGTTGGATCTGAGAACCCTGACTCATGTGACTGAGTTTCTGTAAAAATGGCTTGGGAGTGGTGGTTGACCTCCTCTAACTTCACAAGGGGAAGGAGAACCAAGATCAACAGCCCAAGGCTGACTCCTATGAGGCAGAGGTCAAACATGTCTCCTCTCTCTGCCATCTTTACCAATTCTGACACCAACTGTCCCTCACACAGCACTCTCTACTCTGCTGGGTTCGATAATTCATTGCAATGGCAACATAGAACTCACAGACAATACTCACGATTATGGGGTTTATTAGGGAAGTAGCAGTTACAATTCAGGCTCAAGAACACTCAGGATACAGTTCTTCCATCAGGACAGCCTCTTTCCAGCTGTACTCACAGACATGCCTCTCCCTGGCTATTGGCTTCTGCCCAAAGGCACTCAGCTTTCTCTCCCCACGGGCCAGGAGGCCCACCACGCTGTCTCCTGCTGCCAGGTCTCTGCCGCCTCTTCTCACTGCCTTCAGTGTTACAGTGCTCTCTCTCACTGTCTCCTGGTTCCAGGAACTTCTCAGCACAGGTATCCTGGGTCCAAAGGATGTGCTGGCTCCTGGATATTCTTTGGTAGTGGTGGGATCTTCTCTTTCCCACCTCTACGGCAGCTCATTTTAAGCCCGGCAGGATGGCAAAGCTGACCAATCCCTTTGGTGGGCCATAATTACCCTGTCACACAGTCTTGCCCAATCACTTGGGTGGGAGTTACAAGACCATCACGAGAAAGGCTCCTATGCTGTTGTTAGGTGCTGCGGAGTCGACTTTGACTCACAGCTTCCCCATGTGACAAGCATAGAACTGTGCTACAGGGTTTTCTTGGTTGTAATTTTTACGGGTGGAGATTGCTAGGCCTGGGTGGGTTCGAACTGCCAACCTTTCAGTTAGCAGCTGAGTACTTAACCATTGTGCCACCAGAGCTCCTTCTCTTCCTTTCTTATGTGTCCTTAATTAACTATCTGTGTCTACCTTTTCACTGTGACCCTACAGAAGCAGGACTAATAAATTTGCTTTGTTGATCAATTAGACAGAACTATCCTAAGCTGGGGAAACCCTGGCGGCATAGTGGTTGAGAGCTAGCCTGCTAACCAAAAGGTCGGCAGTCCAAATCCACCAGGCACTTCTTGGAAACTCTATAGGCAGTTCTACTCTGTTCTATACGGTCGCTATGAGTCAGAATCGACTTGATGGCAACGGGTTTGGTTTGGTTTTATTTTAAGCTGGAGACATCTACTAGAGGTCCTGGGAGTGATTTCCTAGAGATTTATGTTTCTCTCCTCTAATTTTACATTCACCAAGCAACTTTCTGTTCTATAACTTTGTCTCTTGAGTGGACATAAGCACTAGAAAAAGCACTCCAAACACAAGTTTTAAGAATTGCTAACATTTATTTAGCACTTTCATCCCAAGCAGTTTTAAGCATTTTACATGTATAAATCCATTTAATCCTCACAAACAACCCCATGAAGGAGGTCCTATTATCCCCATTTTACAGAAGAAGAAATAGCCTCAGAAGTGGTTAAGTAATTTGCCTAAGGAAGGTCACAAGAGTAGGCAGTGGTGAAGTCAGGATTCAAAGTCAGGAGCCTCCTGACTCCTGAGTATGGGCCTTAACCATCATTTGTTATTTACATGTCAGGAACACCTCCTACTGTAGTTGAATAACTTGGCATTCTAGTTTATAAATTAGATTCTTAGAAGTTTAGAAAGTGTTACACATACACACACAGCATCAGCTGAGCTGAAAAAATCAAGTACCTGGACCTGCAGAGCCAAGGACCAGATCACTTGTGTGGTTTGACAGGTCTGTGAACTGCTTCCTGGCTGGTCAAGTGAGCTCTTTCTTTCTTATATTTTTAAATTGCAACACAGGCTTTTTATTGAAATACAAATTTACCAATGACTCAGGATATTTACAGACTATGCAGGAAATTCAGGAACTGTCAATTTTTAAGAGGTGTCCCAAACTGGGTAGGAGACAAAAAAGTCACTCACAAGTCAAACTTACACCATCATCATAGTGTATTTTTGCAAACTTAAAGTAAGTTGAGATCAATTTTTCCAGCGAAGGCAATATGCCATTAGAAACAATCAACATTTCTGAAGTCTCTGGCAAAATAAAAACAGCATGATATTAAGTGAATTTAAGTAGACTAAGCAGAAAAATATAAGAGGCAGGAAAAGAAGGGAAGAAGGGATTTTCTCTGTCTCCCTGAATGAGAAGGGCCAGGGTTGTTACAAAGCAGTATATACACACACACAAATTAATTTATATACAGTAAATATATTCTTTATATGTATTTATACAAAGAATATAAATATAATACAAGGAGACAACTAGAGATAAATAACAATTTGGAATTCTAATGAAGGAAAGGTGACTAATCATGAGTAAGAATACATACTCCACAAATGGAGCTGGCAAATTTTAAGTGAACAGAAGCTTCACTTCTAACTAAGTTAATGAAGGACAAAAAGGATTTGTGCTTCTTTGGGAGACCTGGTTCTGATCTGAGCCATGCCAAAAGTGCAAGGTAGGATGGTAATATGATAAAACTAAACTAAATGCTACCACAAACTTTTTTTTCAAACTCTGGGTACAAATCAAATCTCTTTTAACTACAGAATTAGGTGTAAAATGACATTTACATATAATCTTAAAAATACACCAATTATCATCAATATTAAAGGAGAGAAAACATTAAGATATAGGCATATTACCTGTATACATATGAAAGTTCTTGGAATTCTCAACTTTTGGAGAAATATCCCCAACACAATTTTGTACATGTATATAGAATGCCGCAGAACTTCTAACCAAATTAAATATTTTTAACATTTAATTTCAGCCCCTAATGAATGCAGTTACCTCAAAATTAACTTCTTTCCTTTATCAATGGTTCTGTTCTGCAATGTGCAATTATCACATTAGAAGCTAGAGAAAGTAAAATTATACAATCTTAAAGGTTTTTTAATGAGATTTCAAACTTTTCTTCTTTAAGAAGTCTATGTAATGTACTTTGGAGAAGTCTCAAAAGCAAGATATTTGATTTCCTCTTATACTGCTGAAATCTCTTAACAATCCACTAATCTATACATTACTCCAATACAGAAACACAAGAATTTTTCTCAGTAAACTTGGTCAACTCCACCTGTCCCTGAGTTTCATCTATGATTTACTTGGTTCTTCTTTTTTAACTTTTCACTTAGTTTTATTCTTATTTCTCTGCTGCAGTTTACTCATTTTTTATGCTAGCAAAAGATCACTTGATTTCAGACTCAAGAAGAACATACTCAATACAGAGCTTCCAAATTCATTTACTACTCAACTGAAGCCTCTTTAAATATCCTTTTCCATGTATAACCAAATGCTTAAAATCACCCCTTTTATTACCTTTGGTGTGACATTAGGTAACTTTCAATATGAAGTTTATGTGTTTCTTTAATACTTCCTCATCTTCAATGTAAACCGCAGTGAATATGACAAGGTAATACAGCAGAGAGGCAAAGGCAGGCCTGGGTGTGAATCTGCACTCCACTGAAATCGTCCTACAGCCACAGAGGGGCACAAAAGGGCTGTGGAGTGGGACAAGGGAGGTCTCACAGGGCTGTTAACATGGGAGAGAATGGTGGGTGCAGGAACGGGAATGAGAGAACTCTAAAACTATCATACAAGAAAAAGGCTAAGCGGCAAATGGTCTCCAACTAGCTAACTTGTCATTATTGTTTCTTTTAAAATTTTCTGGTACGATTAGAAAAAGTGCTTAACTATACATGCTACAATTTCAACTGGCCTAAAATATTTCAATAACAAGTATTGAGGAAGCTTTGTAATTTTAAGGTCTAATCTTTTTAGTGATTTCAGAGTCAGCATGTGAGCTTTTGCACTCACTACTGATTGAAACAAAAATACAACCTACCAGACATGAATGGGTCAACTGCCACAATTTGATCACTTCAAAGGAAGAATTAAAAATGAATACTCTCTTCAATATGGTCAGAACAACAACAAACCAAAAGTCCCTTAATTTTTGAAGCAGAATTTCTTGCCTGCATTTTTTTCTTTTTGGTCACGTCACCTATGTTATATCCTTTGTAACATCACTGCTATCATCTTTCAATAAATGTCCATCTACAAATTAATTAACTTTTTTGAGACAAATCCCTGGTATACTATTCTTCTGATTCCCATGAAAGACTCACTTTTAAGATACAATTGCAGCTGCCCCACACTGCCAGTTACTGTGTCATACACACGCCTTAAAATTCTGTAATCAGCAACCACCAGGTGCCGTATCGCATTCAGCACACCACAGTCAGTCAATACAGACATCCCCAAACACACCAAGGCTGGTTTTGTCAAATGTTTTATTGAGTGTAGACATCTGGAGTACTGTAAAACATGCATTATCTGTAGATTCAAAAAGGAGCAAGCCACATTGTCCTCACTGTCAAATGTGTCAGGCTTGGCATACATGATGGAGATTAATGAAGTATCATGAGAGTAATATGGTTCCTGAAAAGCTTCTACAATTTGGAGTAGGGTCTTAATCACATGAAAAGGAAAGCTGTTCACATTTAGTGAACTTGCATTTCATGGGAGGTACGCAGTATTTTACTTTTAAAACAAATAAAAATAATTTTGTTTGTAGAAGATTCCCATCCCAACTTTCATTTGTCCCTCTAGTTTTCAGAAAACTTAATTTAAAAAAAAAAAAAAGAGATAAGCCTTTTGGAAATTGTATGTTTATCTGAGCAGTAACAAAATTTATTTCTTCTTCGGTTGCTGAGGTGTATTAAATTTGAAGAAGATAATATCTCCATCTTCAACAATATAATTTCTGCCTTGTTGTCTGTACTTCCCAGCAGCCTGAAAACAGGAAATATAGAGGAAATGGGTATTATTTTACAACTAAATACATAAGGTAAATGGTAGGAGCAGATGCAAAAAGTATTATACTTCTTGGGCCATATTAAAAATAAAGAAGAAAAGCAAAATATAGGAAGGGATACGAGCTCAAAACTAGACTTGAAGAGAAACAAAGTATTCCTGATTTGGGTAGAACTAGATTTTACATACATACATAATCATAATGTATTCTCCACTAAATTGTTGGTACATAAATGTAATTATACCAATATCATTAAGTTTCATTACATGCTGTTTATGGTACATTTCTGATGTGTCTGCAAACATCCGGCAAGTCACTGTAACAAAACAGATCAAACCAGGCAGAAAAAGATTGTATAACTAGTTTAAAGCTGCTTTATTTGCTTAAATTCTTTGGTGACACTGTGATGGCAAAAAGACAGTTTGCTATAAAGAAAACTATTATCAATTATAGTGTGCAGATTCTGAAGTATTTCCTTTTAGAGTTTTCTTATTTAGTCTTGACCATGACCATACACAGTGGTGTGTACTAGAATTCATCATGAAGAAGTTTACTAATGGCCTGAGTTACGAGCAGAATCTAACAGGTTGAAATTGCAAAGAGATTTTTTTTTTTCACTTGTAAATTAGCAGGCAAAGCAACTGATTCCACCTGCTGGTATGTAGAGATCCAGATGTGCAATATGCCGATAATTCTAATACAAACAAGCAGCAGTTCCAGAAACCCAGACTGACCCTGTGGCACAGCACAACTTTACCCTAAGCACGACAGGCTATTTAGCACCCACCAACACTACACACGCCCAGCCTGGTGCCACGTGACCCCACCGGTGGCTACTCAAAAATGAGGACTTGAAGAGCTTCTGGAATAAATTCTCCGAAGTATTTTTCTTCTGTTAGAATTTATTGAGAACATGAAACCTTTGCCCAATAAGATTAGTACCTCTCTTTGAAGATATTGATAAGAATGTGTTAAGTGCAATTATACTAATCAGTAACAAAAACACTAACAGATTACACATCTGAGGTTAAAATCAGCAAACCAGACCACAGAGCCCAAATAAGCATATTTTCAATTATCCACACTACATACAAAATGAAGCTTATTTAAAAAAAAGCCAACGTACCTTAACATTCTACAAGGCATATATATATATTTTTTCACATAATTTTTGTAAAGAAATGGAATGTATTGAAGGCCATGTGCTATTTATTTATAGAATTAAGCCCACTGTTACAAAACTATATAGTAAATTTAAATCAAATACATATTGACATGACATATTAATGTAAGTTTATATACTTTGTTACCACTCAAGTTTACTATTAATTAAAAGTGACAGTGTTCCTTTAAATTCTCGAGAGACCATTTAATCCATTTCCACTGCTATCAGAAACACTGGTTGAAAAAAAAATCAATACCCATTTGTGAATCTTGAGTATGTATTAAACAAGACACGTCTAACCAGTTCATTTGCACTTGAAAGCAGCCATCTGTAGAAGCCAGCTTTGCCTAAGCAGATATGATTGCTAATAATGTGATATCCCTGTAGACTACAAAGCCCACACAGAGCTATTCAGTATATAGTTCACAGCACTGGCATTAAATTAGTTATGCTGCACTGGTGTTAGAAATACACATACATACATACACATATACACAGTCTCGCTCTCAAACCCAAACTACTTGATAATATATAAGGAAATATTTGTTGAATAAAGAAGCATAAGGCAATTCATAAATGCTACATGTTACTTGGAGTTCAAATTTTGAAATGCTAGTTTTAGAGGTTAAAAACCACGTAAAATACTTAATGGTATTCTAGGCTGAAAAGCCAGAGGTTAACCTTTTGCAATTTATAGAATAAAAGTTCCCAGTTATTGTTAAATATTTCTATAAGCAGGAGAAATTATTTTACTGTATAGTATAAAGTTTCTCTATATTATTAAAGGAGTATTCACAATTTACACATATCATTCACATTTATTAAAACATAAACATCCATTAAGGACTGGTAAAAACATGTGAGAGTATAAAAAAGAAGAATCTGATTTCTGAATTCTACTAGTAGATAATAATCCCATTTTTATCACCCTCACTCTGAAAAAATATATATGCCAACACGATGCAGCAAGTTGAAAAACAATCTTAGATTTTTCAAGTGTAATTAGTATAACTAATTAGTTTAAGTTCAGTCTGAATATTTGCATAACTATCTATCAATACAGATGACACCACTGAAAAATTAATGACTTTGTTTGATTGAAAACTGTAACTTCTTTCCCTTTTTTAAAAACCAAAATGGCTCTCATTCCACACTGAACCAATTATACCAAGATTTCTTCCCTCCTCTTCCTAGGGTTCCAACAGTTCTATTAAAGTCCTGCTGTTTTGTATGATCTTTCCAATGATACCAATGAGAATAAACTAAACTTGAAATAAACTTTTTTGCATTCCTTTCAGTTTATGAAATAGCAAATGCAAGGGAACTCTCTTTAAATTCTTCAACATTTTCTATGGTAGTTTTAAAATATCAAATTAAATTAAAGATAAAGAAGCCTTCTTACAATGTTAGTTTAATCAGCTGTCTTATCTCTCCACTAGAGATGATATAACCATTAGGTTTCTCTAAGTAAAAACTAAGCCAAGCAAAGTTTAGTTTGCAACAGAATTTAAATCATTTATTACTCATGTATAATGTTGCTTCACTATTAGTGGCTGCAAATCAAATTATACTTATTAGCTAAAATAAAGCACAATTTTGGACCTGCCCTCTAGTGTCGAGAAAGCAAATCAAACGAAGGATCTTAAAAAAAAAAAAAAAAAAGTATACCAGTAATCATGAAGTTTCAAAAGACAAGTTTTATTTAACTAGTTCTGTCCCTTTCCTTGAATTAATCCTAATGATATAGTTCTACTTCAGATTTTCAAAAGTAATAAGTATAATTTTTCATCAGCCATCAGTGAATAGAAAATATTTGAAATTATTTATAATTACCTAAAACTAGTTTATTTTCAGTTATAGAAAAAATGCACAATAATTACTGATAACAATTTATACATTTTTTCAATTATCTAAAAGCACGTGAACATCTACAGCTTTTCAATCAGTTAATAGTAACACCAAACCCCTGATAATTTTATTATTCTATTTTAGACTACATGGTTTAAAAGACAATTGTCATTCATTTTTATCATAAGTATCTTCCTATCAGTGAAAAAACTGTAAAATATGAAAATAGAAAATTATTCCTTACCTTCACCGCATTTTCAGAACCTTCTTCTTTAAAATCCTCGTATTTCATTACTTCAGCCATAATGAATCCCTTTTCAAAATCTGTGTGAATCTTTCCTGCAGCCTGAGGAGCCTTCGTCCCTTTCTTTGAAACGAAAGACCAGAGAGAACTAATTGCATTTAAGATGACTGACTGTAAGTGCAGATTCTCTCTTCTCTCATCTACAGTTGGGCTCAACTTAAACTTAGTTTAGTATCAGTTAAAATGTCAGGTGTACAATTAGTACATTTTTGACACTGAGGCATTATCTGTGTTGAAGATTGAGCACAGACAGATCAATAGATATTAAAGAAGTACAGCCTTGTTTTTCCTGACAGTCATTCACAGCTTCATTGATTTAGACACAGTGCTCTGGTTTTGGTGAAGGTTTCATTTCAATTTTCCATTCTCCACAGCAGAATAAATAAATAAAGATTTTAAAGCAGCTTTCAAGCTGAATTATCAAAGGTTGTAAAAAGATAAAAAGCCCTCAAAATTTCAGCTCATCTAAAGAACATATAAAAATCAATACATAGACTTTTTTTAATAAAGCCATTTCCAACAAGTAATATAATCTGTATTCTGCAAGTAACTGTTAAATTCTCAGAAAAATAAAATTCAAGTAACAAATTTCCCGAACATATTGCATAATATACCCTTCCTCTAACCATCAGGAAAGACAATTCAGGTTGATACAGAAAGAGAAATGTCTTATAATTACCCTGTATGTTAAATTACAAGGACATACATTCCAGACACACAAAACCATGGAAAGAAATTTGATAAATAATGGTGACCTAAAGGCTGCTTAATAAAGCATGTTAAAGTGATAAGGAGTCTAACACTAAAAGCACAGTTTTTACAATAAAAGATGTATTGGGTTAATCTGGCTACTCACTGATGCTTACCTGACTAAATATCTTAGCACATTAAATCATGGATACTTACAATCAGTCTTAAGATAAACCAGCTTTCACATTTTCAAGCCAAGAGCATGTCATATTTCCTGCTGCACATACTTAAGTTGGGAAGTTTTAAGGTTTTAAAATATGTCTTTAAAATATATAGTAAAAATAAACTCTGGCAATTCGTTTACCAACTCGTATTTGCTTTTACATTATTTTGTAAGTCTGTATAAAAGGACCTTGATTAGAAGTCAATCAAACATTTTTTTTACAAAGGGGAGAGGAGATAAAAGAAAAGTGAAGCTCACATTCACACAACACATTTAACATTATGTTCAACTGCCTCCATATTTGCATCCATACTAAATCAAAATAAATGTAACTGAATAAATTACAGTAGTCACTGAAAACAGAATCAAAGCAGCACTAAAATATATCATGTAGTATATACTTTAAAAGCATAATAAAAGACTGAATAAGACGCTGAGTGTTTCTAAAAGTTCTAGCATTATTTTTCTCTAACACACTATTTAGGACTACACATATTTCAAAATATTTTTTAAGAGTAACTACCATATTACAGCATATTTACATTTAAAAGCAAACCATTACAGTTCAGTTTCTATTGTCCTCTGGGAATAAATTAGTCATTCTCTCTGATCATAATCAGTATACATCAATATTTAAAATACACATCACATTTTTAAGAAACAAGACTGAATATATAACATTGTAAAAATAAATACTACTGCTATGAACTCATAAAAAAAGCATGAATTATTACACATTGAGTTTAGCTTTTTGAGCCCAACTGTGTATCTACGAAGAGCATAATGATGTCATATTGCTTTTATTGCTGAAAATGTAATCCGAGCAAAGCAAAGGAGGAAAGAACCACCCGCAACCCAAACAAACTTAGCGAATACAAAATGAAAAGCAACATCAATTTCACTGCAGACAAACCCAGTCACACAGATTAAGCAAGCACAATACTGGTGCGTCTTATCTCTGACCACAGGAGGAGGGTAGACAGATTCTACAGGATGAAGAAATTCAGACTATGTAATAGGCAGAATCAATTGTTACCTGCCTCAATCAATGCCGCTCCACTTTCACTGTTCAGCAGCTCACAAATAATTAAAGTTATCCTGGACAAAAACCTCATCTGTAATGACTAGCTAACCGCCACCATGACAAACTTCAAAGTCAGTGATATCAATCTGAATTCAATAGTGTGGAACTGGATATAGCTGATGAATAAGTATGAATCTTACCCTGATGGTCCATGCACGCACTTCATCTGGGCCTGCAGTGAAAAAGTATTCTAGTTGGAGTGCTGCAAACCCAGCCTTAATGATCTTTGGCAAAGC